GTGCTTCTTGGTCCCAATGGAATTTCTCATTGGGAACCTACTAGCACTAAGTTGCTAACTGGTTAGCAAGATGCTTCCGTTAAACCGCCCACAACCAACACGCTTGTGAACCTTCCGACACAACAATTCCACCCTCTTTGACAAATGACCAATCACATTCACTTTATTTAATAGTGTAAAGTCGTGCACCACTCAGAGAATTCGGAAAATGCAACGGTTGGGACGGCTATTTCCATATGTCTTTGAACATTTTATGTATAAAATGGAATTTTTATCCCGTGCAGTTAGGAATGTATAAATTTTTTTGTACTTTAAATTCCCAAGCAGAAAGTTCAACTATAAAATTTGAACTGCAGAAAGTACCTGCAAAAATGTAAGTGCTGAAATCCGTCTAAAACTTTTAATGCAGAAACTCACCTGCAAAAAATCAACTGCAACTGTTTAAATTTATAATTATGCAAGTCACCAGCACTACAGTAAGCTTTGCAGGTTTGAGCCAATCAGACGCTCTCATTTGATCATGTGTTTGGGACAAAGATGGGTTCTAACATTTAGCCTGGTTCCCATAACCTGTGGAAACAGGCTTTTAGCACATAAGAAAACTGATTTTTTTATGTCATCCAGTTCAAAACCTTCAACTTCTTTGGGCAAAGTATGATGTGTGAAATGTTTGACTGATCTGATGAGAGCTAGCGCCCTACAAGCTAGCCATCATCAACCAATCCAAGGTACGGGATTGTCACAATATCAAATGAGCGTAACTGATTGGCTAAAGGTTGCTGGATATGCTGTAATTCTTTTCCAGTTGATATTTTGTAGGCAAATGTTTAAAGAGTAAATCTAAAGCAAAAATAAATAATAAATTAAACACCTAATTGTACAGAATACAAACAATGGGAGCTATAAATTAAATATTTGAAAAAAAAAAGTCTGATTCTTATGAGAATATTTTCCTTTCAGATAAAAACTAACATGTTCTCCCTTTTTTCAGGCATTCCAGCCTCAGAAGAGACCAACAAGCTGGAGGCTTTATCCACCATCCATCCAGCTGAGGTAAAAGCAGCTTAGCTCTAATTACTAACAACAATTTTTTTTTTATCGGTTTCTTGTTTTGCCGATCATTCCTTCTTGCTTTAAAACTGTTTTTTTCTGGGTTTTTTTTATCTGTTAGGAGTCTGTGGATCTGTTGGGCCAGTTTAAAGAGTTCATGGTCAAATACAATAAGGTTTATAGCAGCCAGGAGGGTGAGTGGTTCACACCTGCTCACATAACACAGCACTTCTATATAAAAAGGACAGCACCTCCATATAAAGGGACACTCAGCACCTTTTGTGCTCACAGCATGTTGTGTTCGCCCTGAAGCGAGAACAAACCCCGCAAATTCTGTTTATCTAAACAGTGCCTTTGAAAAGGTTTTAGCTCTCTTGTAAACGGCGTCTGTTCCTGTTTTATTTGCGGACTCAACTGTTTTGGATATAATCTATTAAAATATCTCTGTTTTTTTCTGACACTTGGGTTACAAGCTGATGATTGTAAGCAGACCTTTGAACTACTGAGGAAGGAAAACCCATGAAGCGGCATATTCAAAGCTTTATTTCTTAATTCATTCTAGAGGAGTGGCGGCCTAGCGGTTAGGGCATAAAGCTAGGAATCTTGAGGTTGTGAGTTCAAACCCCACTCCCACAGACTCTCCTCTGGCTCTATGAGCAAGACCCTTAACCGCCGATTTCTCCCCGGGTGCGACACGATGGCAGCCCACTGCTCCCCAAGGGATGGGTTAAATGCAGAGATAAATTTCTCCAATGTGAGATCAATAAAGTTCAATTATGTCTTTAAGTACTGTATTGATGTTAAACAAACGTTTCATCCTCACAAATCTTCCAAAGTAGCTAAACTATAGTAGCCATAGAGAATCATTGGCTCAAACATAGAGAATGAGCCAACATTTTTTTAAGTTAATGACCCTGTAACAGGTAATCTATTAAATGATAAAAGATCCTGAAGGTACTTAAAAGAGTAGCGTGTCATTAAAAGAAGAGTTTTTTTTTTTTTTCTGAAAAAGGGGGCTTGAATAACAAACAAGGAACATAAGAAAATAATTGGTGTCATTTTGTCATGTTTTTCTTTTCATCTGCTATATTATCAGGGTTTCAACAGATCATTAAAAATCATTAAAAATAATTCATTTTTTTTAAATGAAAGCCTTAATTGGCATTAAAATTCATTAAATGTGATTATCGTGGCATTTAAAGTGCTTTATTTAAAAAAAAAATACAATTATAAAAACAA